GTCAGCACGTAGGCGTCACGACGTCCATGGCCCCACCCTGGTCTCCTCAGAAGGCCGACTGGCCAAGGGCAAGAAGTTCTGTAATATGCTGCCTCCCTCATCCGAGGAACAGGCACCTGCATCAACATGATTCCTCGGAGATCCGAGCGGATTTCTTCAGGGCTGGACCTGAGCGTTGTTTTTCGTCTTGGTTTTCCGCTTTGCTTTCGTTTCGCTCTGCCTGTTTTCCTGTCTATTCCCTTCCAAAGCGAGACGAGCAACACAGCCGAAGCCCAGCAGAACAACGTTTACAAGTCCAGCCCTGGAAGGGTTCCTTGGACCGGTGCGGGACCCTCCTCCCTAGCGTTGAGTCGGGCCTGTCCCTCTACGGGAGGGAAATTCAAGAATAGTAAACAAGTAATCTGGTGATGTTTTTTTCATTATTATGTTTTGACTATTTCGGAATACTTTTTGGTTAGTTTTAATTTTTCGTCCGAAGCCCGCCTGCAGGAGGACATGCCCGACCTAACCCTGGCGCGCGGGGAGCGCGCCAGGGGCGGCGCCGGAGGCGCCTCCCCAGGGGGGGGGTCCAGCGCCGATCCAAGAGATCTGCGCGGGCCTCCCAGAAGATACGCTTACCTCCTCCTCCTCCTCCTCCTCCTCCTCCTCCTCCTCCCTCTTCCTCCTCCTCCTCCCACTTCCTCCTCCTCCTCCTCCTCCTCCTCCTCCCGGAGGAGGAGGAGGAGGAGGAGGAGGAGGAGGAGGAGGAGGAGGAGGAGGAGGAGGAGGAGGAGGAGGAGGAGGAGGATGAGGGGGAGGAGGAGGAGGAGGAGTATGAGGAGGCGGAGGAGGGGGAGGAGGAGGGAGGAGGGAGAGGAGGGAGGAGGAGGAGGGAGGAGGGAGGAGGGAGGAGGGAGGAGGGAGGAGGGAGGAGGAGGGAGGAGGAGGGAGGAGGGAGGAGGAGGAGGAGGAGGAGGAGGAGGAGGAGGAGGAGGAGGAGGAGGAGGAGGAGGAGGAGAGGAGGAGGAGGAGGAGGAGGAGGAGGAGGAGGAGGAGGAGGAGGAGGAGGACAGTTCTTGCTCCTCGAAGCATGCGACATTTGAACCCCTCGGGCTGGGTGAGGAGTGGCCCGGACGCTGTGGGCTGGCAGCGAGACGTGGGGTGGCAAAGCTCAGGCTGCGCCGCGTCCTGCAGGGCAGAGCCTCCAAGGGTGACCAAGTGGAGCTGTGCGTTGCCCGCCGGTCCCTTCTGGTCCAAGTCTACGGGGGCCGCCAAGGCCCCGATCTGCGAGTCTCGTCGATCACTGGCCCAGTGGGCAGGAACCAGCGGAGGTGGAACAGAAACCTCCTCCTCCGCCTCTTCCCTTTTCTTCTAACCTATCTCCTTCTCCTCCTTCTCGCCCCTCGCTCCTCCATCTCCACCAGCGGCGGCTGCGGCAAGCTGCGGCGAGAGGCGGGACCGAGGGCGCCGCAGCGCTAACGAAGGCCGCGGCGCCGCTGGCCGCCATGGTGCCCATCGCCATGGGCGCCGGGGGGCCCGCAGAGGGGGGGGGCCCTCTTCTTATTCTTCCTGCCCCTGCTCCTCCTCTCCCTCTTCCTCTTCTTCCTCCTCCTCCTCCTCCTCCTCCTCCTCCTCCTCCTCCTCCCCACCAGCCTCCCCCGACAAGACGAGGGGGCAGGGAGGAGGAGGAAGGAGGAGGGAGGAGGGGGGGGGGGATGAGCGGGACGAGGACGACGGCGTCGGGGCTATGGCGCTCTCCCCGCTCCCCCCCCCCTTCCGCGGGCCCTGGGACGGCGGCCGCCACCCGAGGTGGCTTGTTAAAAACCCTGGGCCACGGACCTGCACCTCGCGGCGGGCCGCGCGCGGCTCTCGAAGAGGGGGAGGGGGGCGGGTTGGCGGCGGGGTGTGGGCGGGGGGAAAGGGGGTAATTACGCGCGCGCCCAGCACTTCAAAACTTACCCAAGCAACGGGCGACATGCTGTATGTATGGAACAGAGTTTCCCCTATGCGCTCATGGCGTATTGTGTACTGCGCGCGGCTCGAGCAATTACGCGCGGGCGCCCAGCATTGCAAAACTTCCCCAAGCAGACGCACACTGCCAGTGACGAGTGACACGGCGGAGGGGAATCAGGAGGATGAGGAAGAGGAGGGGCGGGCACGGAGGGAGAGGGCGAAGGACAGGATGAAGAGTGGCGATGATGACGAAGATGGCGACTGTGATGAGGAGTGTACATCGGCCAAACTTATAAAGTGGAATGGGGGAAGCGGACGATGCTGTTGCTGCTGCTGCTGCTGCTGAGGCCGAGGCTGAGGCTGATGCTGATGATGATGATGCTGATGCTGCTGCTGCTGATAATGATGGTGATGAGGATGAGGATGATGATGCCGATGCTGATGCTGCTGATGATGATGATGATGATGATGATGGTGATGATGTTGATCGTGATGATAACAGTGGTGATTATTGTGATGGCGAGGAGGACGCGACGGATAACCATAATAAACCTAAGACGCATCAACG